CGTTACTACGAACCCTGTTCGTGGTAACGAATACGGCGAAACTGTGAGCAAATTTGAGCAATTAATAACTCATAACTTATACCCACTGTAACGATGGCGAGCAAGAGGAACGATAGATGGTGGCTGTCAGTAACCAGCGCTCTTAACCTCATTTTTGTCCATCAGCGCGTAGAAATCTGGAGCATTTCCTTCTATGAAATTCCCAAAATTAATGTGATGTTCACTCTCGGCATGCCATATAACCTCTCTGGCGAAGTTTTGGCAAATTTTTGTTTTCGCTTTTGAATTACCCAGAAATATTTTAGCAAATTTTTGTTTTCGCTTTTGAATTACGCTGAAACAGAGTCCTTAAACTTGTTGTAAGGAAAAGCAATTAGTTTGCTGTAGGTTAGCCCAATATATGTCGCACTTAGGTTTGTTGTAAGATATCTTCAGTGCTCCTCTTTAAATAGAGTTGACCGTGCCCTCTCTCAGATCATGACCCGTATTTCCAGTGCGATATGATATACTGCATCGATAGTATTTCCGAAGTTGCTATGCACGACAAGCATCACAGCCGATTTTCCGACATAACGAGAGTGAAGGTTTCTGCGTCACAGCTCAACATTTGGTTAAGGTTGGTGTACTATAATCGCTTCAAAGCAATGCTAAGTGTGTGCATCAGGAAAGAGTGCCACTACTCCACATTTCATGGTTATGTGTTTCGAGTTGTTCCCGATTCTCCCACATCTTTGAAGAAGAAGGCAGAGATAATAATCGAGGTTTGTTTGTGTAAGCATCATGCGAAGATTAGTATTAATCATCAATCATATTTTCTTTGTATTTAGGAACTTGTGAATCCAAGCGTTGGATTCTCTACAGATCTTTCTATTTGGGGATGGGATCAACGGAGAACGGTATGGGTCTCAGTGATGACTGAGGTACGTCATCGTCTCATTAACAGATGACGAAGAAATAATTGTGTTGTTTTTCTTGCCAAGTATCCCACAGACGACCTCATCGAAAGAGGTTAATTCTATATGTTACGTCTCAACAAAGCTAGTTATAAGTGTAATCCTTCATATTAAAGGCAGCGTCCAAGCAGATTTTCGAAATCCATATTTTTATGTTATCCAGGCCTTTTCATGGCGCTG